TGCAACATGACCTCTTTCGACCAACTTAGTGACCTGGGGGCGTTGACCTGACCGTGACCTGAGGTCAACACCCTTAGTTGACCTGACCCAAACAAAAAGTATATCATTCGACGCGCCTGAGCGAGGCGAACACGATGCTGCTAAAATCGCGGCTCTGCGGCCGTTTTTTGCGAAGTTATTCACCAAAAACTGAACCGTTCCTTGGCGCACTTGACGTGACCTCAGAGATCACCGGTTGACCTAGGACCTTAACCCGTGCCCAAGTGTGGGGGGATGTTTGAACACCCCCCCCCCTGCGGTTTTTCGCAGCTATCTCAAAAACCGTGGCGCGGAGCGCCGCCGTTTTTGGTACACCTTATCCCTATTCCTGGCGGGGGGGGGGGCCTCAGGAGCCCCCCCTGAGGTTTTTTGGTTATTTCTCCCAAACGCGCTGAGCTAGGAAGCTCAAATTTGCTGACTTTTCCTATAAGGCTTCTACGCAACATGTCTGAAAATTTTGAGTTGATCTGACCTCAGGTCAGGTCACCAGAGGCGGTTTGGTGACCCTACCTCAGAAAAGTTTGCAATCACGCCAGAGCTAGAGTTTTTGACCGATCAATTTCTTCTCTTCAGGCTTTAGTTAGGGTACCAGTATGTGCAATTTGTATATCTCGGAATTTTGATATCGGTGACCTAAGGTCAGGTCAGTTTCGCGACCTCCCCATTATAAGTCAATGGGGGAAAAATCAACTCCCTGTTTTTACCACTAAAACGGGTCGGAATGGCCCCATATACCATACATGACTTCATATACGATCAACCTTCACTACCTTGAGGTCTGTTTTGCTGTTGGGCAGCTGTGAGGTCATGTGACGTCATCAAATGTCACCAAAGGGTTTTGGCCAATAACTCCGCACAGGAACAAGATACAGACGCGTGGATGGTCTCATTGTGTTCAGCTCGTCAAGACGCATCGAATGATATACATGATGACCTCGAGGTCACGTGACCGGAGGTCAACCTTTGACCTTGACCTTTCGAGGTCAACATATATATCATTCGATGCGGATTGACGAGAGGATCACGATGATGCCCTTAGTTTGTTCCTATCTTGACTAATTCGAAAGTTATTCGAGAAAAACTCTCCATATCTAGCACCGCCATTTTGACTTTTTCGACCCCTGTGACGTCATCTTTGACCTGACCTGAAAATGACCTTAGTAAAAATTGTAGACCTTGTCCATGCGTATCCGATGCCGTTTACCGCTTGTCGCTATCTTGCTTCGTTCTCGAGATCTCAGGGGGGGGGCCGAATCGGCCCCCCCCCCCGCCAGTTTCTTGTCCCGGCGGAGCCCGCCAGGAATAGGGAGAGAGCTGACACTTGGCATACCTGACCTTTGATTCAAGCCGGATCTTTTGACACCAACCGCATTTTCGGGTCTATGACGTCATAAGTAAACCTCTGCACGGTCTTCAGATGTCGCAACTTAGCAACGCCCTTACTGCCAGAGGAGCTTTCACAGGGAAATGAAACTTGCAGGATCTAATATCCGTTATGAAGCTCACAACTTGTTTATCTCTTTTTCCTAAAGGTCATATGAGGTCAGGCCACTTTCGTGACCTCAAATAAAAACTGCAATTCTGGCGCCGGGAACGATCTCCAACTATCTTAAGCACACAGAATCGTGATTTGATGCACTCCTTGCAACGTTAGATGCGTCACTTTTGCAATGTTGACCTTGCGTGACGTCATTTATGACGTCATCAAGTTCATATTCGTTTTTCGTCAATAACTCCCGATCAAATTGAGCTAGCGAGTCGGAAAAGCCACCAATGGACTCAGGAAGACCTGCCGAATCGAAAGATATGCAACATGACCTCTTTCGACCAACTTAGTGACCTGGGGGCGTTGACCTGACCGTGACCTGAGGTCAACACCCTTAGTTGACCTGACCCAAACAAAAAGTATATCATTCGACGCGCCTGAGCGAGGCGAACACGATGCTGCTAAAATCGCGGCTCTGCGGCCGTTTTTTGCGAAGTTATTCACCAAAAACTGAACCGTTCCTTGGCGCACTTGACGTGACCTCAGAGATCACCGGTTGACCTAGGACCTTAACCCGTGCCCAAGTGTGTGGGGGGATGTTTGAACACCCCCCCCCCCTGCGGTTTTTCGCAGCTATCTCAAAAACCGTGGCGCGGAGCGCCGCCGTTTTTGGTACACCTTATCATACATCAATTCTACACATGTGAAAATTTCAGACCAAGGTCATTCAAGGTCAGGTCACCAGGTCACTTGAAGTGACCTTACCTCATAAAAAGTTTCAATGTCTGCCATAGCTACACCGAGTGATCGATCACTTTGAAGCTTTCAGCGATTGATAAGGGTAACAGTATCTATAAAATGTATATCTCGGAATTTTGATATCGGTGACCTAAGGTCAGGTCAATTTTGCGGCCTCTCCATTATAAGTCAATGGGAGAAAATTGAAAAGCGTCTGTTTTGCACGAACGCTATTCTAGACACTCTCTAACATCGAGATGTAGGTAAAATTGACACACTGAACCGGAAAATGGCAACTGTGACCCCTCGTTATGTCCCCGAGGTCATCTCATGTCACGAACAGAATCTAACAGTTTTTCGCTAATAACTTCTGATAGAGGCGTGCTAGAGCGCTGAAAACGCCTTAGATGTGTTTGGCTCGACGTTGCGGATCGACTGATATGCAACATGACCTTTTCCGGTCAGGTCATGACCTTGACCTGAGGTCAAATTTTCAAGTTGACCTTTCAAGGTCAACTTATAGTTCATTCGACGCGTCTCGTCGAGAGGAACATGATGCTGGCAAAAGTAATGTCATGGCTTTTTTAGTCAAAAGTTATCGCCGAAAAACCGATTTTCGTAAAAACGGCTATTTTGGAGTTTTTGTCCTCTGGAGGCTAAACCGTTGACCTGAGGTCAAATCTGAGACCATTACTCAGAAAGGTCTGTAAAAGGGCTATCGAATGCACTTTTCTGCGGCGCTGTAGCTCTATCGGTTCCCGAGATAGCCGTGGGCAGTTTCCAAAATGTTGAAATAGTCAACATTTTACCTTTGGTGACCTCTGGTGACCTGACCTTTGACCTGACCCAAAAAAATGACCGAAGTGTTTTCGTCCTTATTTTTGACGTTCTTTCGATTGTCGCTTACCGCGTGTCGCTACGTGGCCCAGGAGCCGAGATAGAAGGGGGGTGTTCAAACACCCCCCACACCAGGTCGTGGAAAATCCAGACTGACACTGGGGCGCGGGTTAAAATCGGGTACCAATCTCTGCGTCTCGTAACGGCGAATGAAATTCATGATTACCATTGCGGTTTAATCCATGATTTCCATGGTGTGACCCATGGCAGATGGTAGGTATGTAGTGCTAATAGTTTCTTTCTTTGTTGTCTATTGAAATGTTAACCCGCGCGGGGCTGGGGTCTCCAGCCGAACGCACGGGGCTGGGGGGGGGGGGGTAAATTTTACCCCCCCCCCCCTGCTATCTCCCGAACTAACGGTCCGATTTGGAAAATTCAAACGCCAATCGAAAGCTCTCATCACGAACTACTAAAAACATGTACTTAATTTAAAGTTTGAGGTCAAGGTCAAGGTCAGGTCAAGGGTACAAATTGCAAGTTTCTACAGTATCGGCCTTGCACCGTAGTTGCCGAAGAATGGAGTCATGGACTGAGACTGATCGCCCAAAACGTGTTCTTAGGCTACCAAGACAATATTCGTTGCATACAATATCATTCAGAGGTCAAGGTCAAGGTCAGGTCAGGTCAGGTCAGGTCACCAAAAAACAAAATATAGAAAAAGGCATGTGCGACACATGTTTTATGGGTCATTTTACTCATAGAATTCAATAGGCACACTCAATAAGTGATACGGACCACCTCTGGATGAATTTCAGGTCGAGGTCAGGTCAAGGTCAGGTCAAGTGAGGTCAACTTTTGAAGTTGGTTGTTAAGGCCTAAAAAGGTGTCTATCTGATGCAGTTTTTCACGGCGAATCGAATGGTGCTATTTTTATTTCCGTACGAGGTCTAGAACTTCCAAAAAAGTCATTTTTCAAAAAATTTGTGTGTCGTGACGTCATAAAATTTTGAATAACTCCCACATTTTTGAGCCGATTCTTCTAAAATTTGGAATGTAGGTGCACATAGACCACTTCTCTGACACATATTCCGGTTTTTTCGATAGACTCAAAACTTTGGATTTTATAATGATTTTCCCAAAAAAGTCAGTTTTTTGAAAAAATGTAGGCCAAAATCCAAAATTTTCAAAAAACCGAGATAGCCATTTGATAGACAAAGTAAAATTACGTATAACCTTTTTTGTTACGTCTTGATTCCTTTAAAAATGAAGATGTTAGCGGCGTTTGAACTTTTGCCGTTTTTGAGGCGAAAATGGCGAACATGACGTCACTAAAACGTCAATTTCTCAAAAATTTTCCGACGGATTTCGCTCAAATTTTCAGGGAACGTGTCAAATTGATGTAAGAAAAGGTACTGAAAGTTTGGCGGCGCTGCGCGCCGCCGTTTTTGAGATATCGCAAAAATTCGCGAGGGGGGGTAAAATTTACCCCCCCCAGCCCCGCGCGGGTTAAGCCTGGACTTTTGGATAGTAAGTATTAGCCGTTCACGGCGGCCATCTTGTACAAATTTGGTACAGATTAGGTGCAAATTTGGTGCAGCTTTGGTCAAATTAGGTGCACCTTAAAAGTTATCAGTTTGGGCTGCACAGATACCTATATGTCTCATTTTTCACATTATCAGACATTATTTTTGACTGAAACACTGAAATAAATTCATAGTATGAAGATATTTGTTATGAAAAAGATTAGGTGCAGATTTGGTTAAATTAGGTACAATCGCCAGATAGTTCGTCTGAAAAAGGTTTATATCATACCTATGCACAGTCGACTTTTATCCCCGCAAAGTTTCGATAAGCAAAATCATTTCATTGCAAGCGCTCAGTCATTTTCAAAAACTTGACAGGCAGCGCGGACTCATTTATTGGCATTATTTAACTCCATACTTACACGTGACACTTGATATGGTTATCACTGCACAGTAAAAGCACCATAGATGAGTACATACGGCACAACTATATAATGCATTGTCATAGATCGTCTCTCGAAAACATACTATAAGGCTGATCTAAACCCAGCTACACACAGCACTATCGATCAGTTTATCTCTGTCAGTTTCGGTGATTGCTGGGGTCTCGGGGCTGACCTCACGACTCACATGCTCCAGTCACTGTACAGTGTACATACACCTACAGGTCAAAGGTCAACACTAACGACGGATCCTGTTTCCCAGCGATGGACACGGCAGGGCAGACAATCTGGCGGCCGGATCGGAGGCCCTTCGACTGATACGGATTAATTAGGGCTCGACTTAGAAATTCGAATGGATGCTTACGAGTACGAGACGCCTCACCAATGACAGTATGACCGTCTTCCATGAGTGCTCAACTTTTTAAAGCGGAGGATTCATCGTTCGGCTGCGAAGGCGCCTTTTTTGACATATTGATATTATTAATATTATCCATCCTTCTTTGTGGCAGGTCCGACTTTCTTTACGGCAGGTCCCCCTTTCTTGGAGCTCTTGGCGTCCCTCTGGGTGACCCTGGCATACAGCAGGGTCAGGAGGGCTCGGTCGCTCATGTCCACTGCCTTGTAGAGTCCCAGAACGTTGTTGTTGTGCGGTGACCGCAGCACGTGGCTGAATCGGCAGCTCTCCGGGCTCGAGCAGGTTCCTGTGACATAGTCTCTGAAGAAACAAACGAAAAACTCGCTGTAAAATGATGAAGAATACCCCTGACAAAATTATTCTGACTGCACCGTTTGAAGACACTGGACAGGTTTCTGATGGCTGCATTTGATGATTGGTTGCATTTGGTGATTGGTTAACCGCCCCTCCCCCCCCCCGGAGGTTTTTCGTGAATAGCGGGAAAACTGCGACGTGGTAGCGCCGCGAAATTTGAGATGGCTATTTCCCCATCAATTTTACACATGGGAGCAACTTTCAACCTCCTACCTTTCAAGGTCAGGTCACCAGGTCACTTTGAATGACCCAACCTCAAACCACTTTTTTGCAACTTGAATATCGCAGGATGTCATGAGGTTATTAGTAGCTACAATTTGTTATTAATCTTGGAATTTTGATATCGATTACCTAAGGTCAGGTCAATTTTTTTACCTCCCCATTATAAGTCAATGGGGGAAAAATCAATCCCCTGTTTTTTTCACTTAAACGCGCCGGAATGGCCCAATATAGGGGAAGCCGGGGGAAGCCCGGCATAGTAAGCTCTTTTTCATTTTTATTACATACCATACATGCTGTATAAAATGTTGATATCCTGCTAGCTACCTAAGTTCATTGGCCGTGTTTTCCCAAAAATTCGGTTTTGTGGAATAAGTATAAGGTTGAGAAAATAGAGTTTTAAAAAAGTGTTGATTTTTCTGGGGTAAGCCCGGCATAGGGGTAACGCCGGCCACCTCCCTAGCGCTTTACAACAAGTTGATGAAACCATTATGTGTTTTCCAAATATTAACGGAAAGTGAAATATTAAGGTACTGATTAGCTCTGGACATCTTAGAGTTTATGTCACCACTGGCATTTTAGCTAGCGTCTACTACATATACAATACAGGTCGATGAAAATCGTGATGCAAAATTGACAAAAAATGTGTATTTTAAAATTCCTTAAAATTTATTTTTCTTTTTACCTTAATGCATCATATTGCATGTCATTCGACTCGGCTGATGAAGAAGAACACAACGACTCCATTTTGAAGCTCTAGCTTCATTGTCTGTCGCGTTATCTGCAAAAACGTAGTTTGACCCTAGTTGACCTTAAGTGACATGACTGGCTTTGTCTCTGATAACATGTTTATTTTCGAAATTTATCTTTGATCTAGGTGTAAACCAAACCTGCTCAGTACCTATTATCTCATGGAAAACAGTGGTTTAGTGGCATTGCTCTCGGTTGGGGGTAAGCTTGGCCACTCGCCCGGGGTTACCCCAATGTGCTAATTTTTATTTTAGAACAGCGATATTCGAAAAAATGTCATACTTAAGCCAGCCTGCCTCGTCACCCCTCACTACAAACACTTAAACTGTCCTTACATAACATTCGTATAAATATTAGTACTGTATAGTATAACATTAACAGTGCAAGATATCTCACTTTTTAGCTAAAAACCATTAAAATATCATTTTTGCGCTATAACTTTAACAATATGCAATTTTTGTCAGCCTTAACTTTTTTGCTGTCGTTACCTTAGCTGCCACGCTGAAAGGACAAACAGTTGAGCATTTTATTGTGAATAATTTAGCCGGAAACGGGGTGGCCGGGCTTCCCCCGCGCCCGGGCTTCCCCCGGCTTCCCCTACCTACCTATCATAAATGACTTGAGATATGATCAACCTTGATTATCTTAAGGCCTGCTGTACTATTGGGCAACTGTAAGGTCATGTGACGTCATCAAAGGTCACCAATGGGTTTTTTGGTAATAACTCCTTAGGAACAAGATACAGTCGCGCGGATGGTCTCATTGTGTTCAACTCGTCAAGGCGCATCGAATGATATGCATGATGACCTTGAGGTCACGTACCTATGGTCAACCTTTGACCTTGACCTTTCGAGGTTAACTTATATATGATTCGATGCGGATTGACAAGAGGATCACGATGGTGACATTAGTGTGTTCTTAGCTTCACTACTTCGAAAGTTATTTGAGAAAAACTTTCCTCATATCTAGCGTCACCATTTTGACTTTTGTGATTCCTGTGACGTCATCTTTGACCTGACCTGAAAATGCATTTGTAAAAATTGTAGACCGTGTCCGTGCGTATGTAACCCATGCCCATTACCACTTGTCCCTATCTTGCTTCGTTCTCGCGATCTCGGGGGGGGGGGAGTCAACCGCCCCCTCTAAGTTGTATCTAAGCTGGCACCGACCCTCCTCGGTGCGCGGGTTAATGGCTGATCTGCTCTAATGATGTTATGTTATTTCGTAAAAAGCTCGCCTTTACGTGGTTCGGGACCCGAACAAAATCTCAGAGATCATTTTTCCATTTCAAAATAATCAAGAAAAAGTATGAAAGACGGGCTAAGATACTGAGCTGCTTACATGCTTGTAGCCTGTAGGTAGGGGAGAGTGGGGCACATTCGTGCATGGGGCACATTCGTTTTCAGCAGTTTATGGGAACACGAGTGACTGCACGAGCTCAAGGTAAATTATGGAAATATGTCTATCATTGCCGCCCTTCGTTCACCGTAGAAGACAACACTGTACCTGCTGTCATGCTTGATAAAAACGCAAATTTGTAATATTCGTGAGCTTTCCAAACTTTTCTCATATCATCCATTTTCGTGATCCTGACTCGGAAATGTGGTTCAGCTTTTCAAAATTGGGGGTGAAGAAGCCCACTCTATTCACGGAACTGCTGCAAACTTGTTTGTTGAAAAAGTGTCATTTTTTCAAAAAGAAATTTTGAAATATATTACTAATATCGTTGTGGGGCAGGTTCGTGTACGCACTGCCTGGGGGCACATTCGTGCATATTTTTTTAGTTTTTGCGATTTATGACTTTATCTGTAGTAGGTTTCTCTAATGACGCTCGCCTGACTCAGTCTCGACTGCTTGCGACGTCGTGACGAGCAATTCACGCGAACTTGGCGAGGTCACGGAGGCCGGCAGTTGGCACATTCTTGTTGGCCAGCCCATTCTTTCTACATTTGTTGTGCAATGCATTCTTGTCGAAAGGAATCAAGTGAAATGACCCCCTGCCAATTTCCTTTGGTAAATTTCTGGTAATGCCCGGTAATTTCTCGAATTTTGCCGGGTGAACGGAAGTGCCCCATCTCTTGAACGAATGTGCCCCATAGGTGGGGCAGTTTCGTGCAAATGTTCAGAGTTAATAAAAGTCATTTTTTCTAATGGAAGCAATAATTTTATAGGATAACTTTTAAAGAGGAAAACTATCTGCAATAGTTCCTTTCCATACTACAATCAACAATTTTGCCATTGCACTAACCAAAGAACAGATATATGGGTTTATCCATTTTTTGCACGAATGTGCCCCACTCTCCCCTATATTTATGTATATTCGTATGCAACCTTACGATTTACATGTATCTAGCCCGACGAAAACTCACACGATTTATGTAAGTTTTAAGTTATTAATGTTTATGTTTTTTCGGAGTTGTTCAAGAGGATAAGTACAAATATTACATTTATTCAGATATTTCGGTACTCGTTGTGGTACCTTCATCGGTGAAATGGCGCACAAAGTTTCGGTTCGTAGTTCGACAATCACATACAATACAAAACACGCGACAACGTCATCTAAAAACCTACACTTTAAATATGCCTGAGAAGACCTAATTACCTAAACCTAATTTAGCACCAAGCATGTTACAGGCAATCTACCAACTGTTGGTGACTTCTTTTTTTTATAATAAAACTACAACTGTTGGGGACAAACTTGTAATGTAAGGTTCACAATGGGCGTAATTGTAGGACAAAATATACGAAAAAACGATATGAGAAAAGATGGCGGCCGCTGGGTAAATACTAGAGGTTCTATAAGCTAGCGGTTTGAAGACGACGATACTATGTATGCTGTGGGTCTAGGTTAAGAGAATGTCCCATATGGGGCTCAAACGGACGCCGCCCTCGTCAAGGTTCATAGTGGCCTGTGGCGTTAGCTTGACCTCTATGGCTTCTCGGACCTTGCGCCTCTTCCAGTGACCTTCAGTGGCTAGCGTCTTGGCGGTGAGTGGGTTCAAGTCACCCCTGCAGGTGCTGAAGTGTCTTGCTGTAGCAGACTTGTCCAGCCGTGCGTGCTTGATGTCCGCGACATGTTCTTTGAGTCGGACATCCTTTGGCCTTCCCGATTCGCCGATGTAGACTGAGCCACAGGAACAGGATATCTGGTAGACTACTCCTTTTTTCTTTTCGGGTTTGGGGGCGTCTTTGGCTTTGACTAGGCGGCTTCTTAGGCGGTTCGATGAGTGTGCCACTTGGATTCCAATGGGACGGAGGACTTTAGCTAGTTTTTCACTAACGCCCCTCACGTATGGTAGCTTGACGAATGTTTTTTCTTGCGCGTTATCTTCAGCTTGCTGCCCGATCTGTTTTCTTTTCTTCATCGATTTTTCGATGAAACTTTTTGGGTAGCCATTACTTTGTAGAAGGTCACAGAGGTGCGCCCTCTCTTCGTGCCGGCTTGATGGCTCACTGCAGATGACCTGGGCTCTCGTGTCCAAACATCTTACAATGCCAGCTTTTATGCACGCCGGATGATTGGAGTCGTACTTCAGGTACAGATTAGATGCTGTTGGCTTCGAATACACTGATGTTTTCAGCCTTGCCCTGTCGCGACGAACGAGGACGTCAAGGAACGGGAGCTGCTGGTCTTGTTCCCTCTCTACTGTGAACTGAATGGCTGGGCTGAAGCTGTTCAGCTCCTTGTGAAATTGTTCAAGTGCCTCATTCCCATGTTTCCACAGAATGAATGTGTCGTCGACATACCTTCTCCAGATGACTGGCTGACTGGATGCTGTGCCTAATACCGACTCCTCAAGGTGCTCCATGTAGGCATTAGCGAGGACTACGGACAGGCTCAGACCCATCGGTGCACCTTCGGTCTGTTCGTAGAATGACCCCTGGCATTGGAAGTAGCGGCAGTTCAGGCACGCCAGCATTAGCCTTCGGATTTGTTCTACGCTCAGTCCGGTTCGGTCTTGCAGGCTGTCATCTGCTGTTAGTTTCGAACAAATCACGTTGACTGCATCATCCACCGGCACCTTGGTGAACAATGAGACTACATCGAAACTGATCATTTCTTCTGTTCCGTCTAAGGTAAGATTTCTAATCTCCTCTACAAATGACTTCGAGTTCGGCACGGTGTACTCTGTTTTCCCAAGCACTGGGCTTATGATCTTGGTGAGATGAGCTGCCAAATCATACGCCGGTGACCCTATCATACTGGTGATTGGTCTCAGAGGCACACCATCTTTATGGATTTTTGGTACACCGTAGAGCCTGGGTGGTGAAGAGTGACTAGGCTTCAGTCGTTTTGCTAGTCCTTCAGATATGCTTCCACTCCGGAAGCATATCTGAGCCTGTCCGTAGCCTGTCCGTAGTCCTCGCTAATGCCTGTCCGTAGTCCTCGCTAATGCCTACATGGAGCACCTTGAGGAATCGGTATTAGGCACAGCATCCAGTCAGCCAGTCATCTGGAGAAGGTATGTCGACGACACATTCATTCTGTGGAAACATGGGAATGAGGCACTTGAACAATTTCACAGGGAGCTGAACAGCTTCAGCCCAGCCATTCAGTTCACAGTAGAGAGGGAACAAGACCAGCAGCTCCCGTTCCTTGACGTCCTCGTTCGTCGCGACAGGGCAAGGCTGAAAACATCAGTGTATTCGAAGCCAACAGCATCTAATCTGTACCTGAAGTACGACTCCAATCATCCGGCGTGCATAAAAGCTGGCATTGTAAGATGTTTGGACACGAGAGCCCAGGTCATCTGCAGTGAGCCATCAAGCCGGCACGAAGAGAGGGCGCACCTCTGTGACCTTCTACAAAGTAATGGCTACCCAAAAAGTTTCATCGAAAAATCGATGAAGAAAAGAAAACAGATCGGGCAGCAAGCTGAAGATAACGCGCAAGAAAAAACATTCGTCAAGCTACCATACGTGAGGGGCGTTAGTGAAAAACTAGCTAAAGTCCTCCGTCCCATTGGAATCCAAGTGGCACACTCATCGAACCGCCTAAGAAGCCGCCTAGTCAAAGCCAAAGACGCCCCCAAACCCGAAAAGAAAAAAGGAGTAGTCTACCAGATATCCTGTTCCTGTGGCTCAGTCTACATCGGCGAATCGGGAAGGCCAAAGGATGTCCGACTCAAAGAACATGTCGCGGACATCAAGCACGCACGGCTGGACAAGTCTGCTACAGCAAGACACTTCAGCACCTGCAGGGGTGACTTGAACCCACTCACCGCCAAGACGCTAGCCACTGAAGGTCACTGGAAGAGGCGCAAGGTCCGAGAAGCCATAGAGGTCAAGCTAACGCCACAGGCCACTATGAACCTTGACGAGGGCGGCGTCCGTTTGAGCCCCATATGGGACATTCTCTTAACCTAGACCCACAGCATACATAGTATCGTCGTCTTCAAACCGCTAGCTTATAGAACCTCTAGTATTTACCCAGCGGCCGCCATCTTTTCTCATATCGTTTTTTCGTATATTTTGTCCTACAATTACGCCCATTGTGAACCTTACATTACAAGTTTGTCCCCAACAGTTGTAGTTTTATTATAAAAAAAGAAGTCACCAACAGTTGGTAGATTGCCTGTAACATGCTTGGTGCTAAATTAGGTTTAGGTAATTAGGTCTTCTCAGGCATATTTAAAGTGTAGGTTTTTAGATGACGTTGTCGCGTGTTTTGTATTGTATGTGATTGTCGAACTACGAACCGAAACTTTGTGCGCCATTTCACCGATGAAGGTACCACAACGAGTACCGAAATATCTGAATAAATGTAATATTTGTACTTATCCTCTTGAACAACTCCGAAAAAACATAAACATTAATTACATATAGTCCTGAGGAAAAGTTTTTTAATCATGACACTCAAGTCATATCTCAGTTTTAAGTTGCAGAAAAAATATTTGATGAGGTTTCACGTTACAAAGGCAATAACTGCGCAACCGTAAGTTACTCACCGACAGATGTGCACTCGGATGCAGTCATGAATTCGACAGGATTCGGCCTGATTGGGGCATATCTCGATATGGGAGCGATAGAACTTCTGGTCAGCAAAGCCCTCCTCCGCAAAACGCCGTCGCAGCTCCGCGATAAGCTGCTCCTCGCTCCGGGATATCTCTTCAGTGCACACAACCTGAAACGTGTTCATTTTATGTTCATGTTAGCTATGCTAGTCATCATTGATTGGGAGGTTTAAAATGCAGCAAGGATCTCAACAAAGTCATTGCTTAACAGACTATATGTAGTACTAAGTAGTAAGTACCTGTCCCTAGAAACAGGATAACGTATCATTTAGGGACGAGAGAGCTATCACAATGCCCCTAACTTGAGCCAGGGAAACATACTTGTGCCCTGCACATACACCGGTACGGGCACAAAATGACTGACCCCATCTAGATTATCAGGAGTATGAAAAATAACCTCTTGCTCATATCTGAAGGAATTAAAAAATTAAAGACCAATATATATTCGGGCGTGGCCCTTCCTCAGTGGTACAGTGTTACAATGGAACAAGAGAGACGTATGTCACATACGTCTCTCTTGTTCCATTGTAACACTGTACCACTGAGGAAGGGCCACGCCCGAATATATATTGGTCTTTAATTTTTTAATTCCTTCAGATATGAGCAAGAGGTTATTTTTCATACTCCTGATAATCTTATCAACAATGCTCAACTCAACGTTTCAATACCTGAGACCCCATCTAGTTAAAACCATCGCACACTTCCGTCTACATTGTGCAGTTTACCCATTCTATTCATATTAAAGCAGGACGATATTGACAGTACAGGCATTCAATGTTCACCAACTTACCTTGTTATGTTCGGACTGGAGTGAGTGCTCGTTGCGGCACATGTCTCCAAACTTGCAGATTCCGGCCAGGAACAGTTTGCAGAGGTGCACCTGGCCGCATGCCTCCTTCTTGCAGCCGGCCCAGTACTGTTGACAGAGCGCCGGCAGGGGGGCGGCGGCCTGCCGAACGGACTCCGCAGGGGCCGGCTCACGAGTCGCCACCGGTTCTCCAGCGGTCGGCGCTGCTTCGTTGGAGGGTGGGGTCTGAACCCCGCTGGCCGACCCTGTCTGACCGCTGACTGCCACCGTCTGACTTCTGACTGCCCCTGTCTGACTACTGACCGCCCCTGTCTGACTACTGACAGCCGCTGTGTGACTGCTGGCCGACCCTGTCTGACTGCCGACCGCCCCTGTCTGACTGCTGGCCGCCCCTGTCTGACTACTGACCGCCCCTGTCTGACTACTGACCGCCCCCGTCTGACTGCCGACCGCCCCTGTCTGACTACTGACCGCCCCTGTCTGACTGCTGGCTGATCCTGTGTGACTGGTGACCGGCATTGTCTGACTGCTGACTGCCCCTCTTGTATCCCCACCGACCGCCCCTGCTGTACCCCCTGCGTCTGTTCCCGCCGTCACCCTGTTAGTGTCTTCTTTTACTTGGTTCAGCAATTGAGTCTGATTCCTTTGGATCTCTTCTCTCTGGGCTTGAAGTGCCCTTTCAAATTCTTCTTGCATCCTATTCATAGCCTCTTGGGATGTTTGACGTGCCTTCTCATTGGCTCTGGCCATTCTTGTTACCATTTCTTGCATTTCTTGAATTCTACTTTCAGAGTCTTCTCGTGCTGTTCTCTCTCGTTCTAATTCATGTTGCATCTCCTCTTCTCGTTGTTCCTGCGCTTCTTGTATTTCTTTAATTCTCCTTTCAGAGTCTTCTCGTGCTGTTCTCTCTCTTTCTAATTCATGTTGCATCTCCTCTTCTCGATGTTCCTGCCCTTCTAGTATTTCTTGAATTCTCCTTTCAGAGTCTTCTCGTGCTGTTCTCTCTCTTTCTAATTCATGTCGCATCTCCTCTTCTCGTTGTTCCTGCGCTTCTTGTATGTCTTGAATTCTCCTTTCAGAGGCTTCTCGTGCTGTTCTCTCTCTTTCCAACTCATGTCGCATCTCCTCTTCTCGTTGTTCCTGCGCTTCTTGAATTTCTTGAATTCTCCTTTCAGAGGCTTCTCGTGCAGTTCTCTCTCTTTCTAATTCATGTTGCATCTCCTCTTCTCGCTGTTCCTGCGCTTCTTGTATTTCTTGAATTCTCCTTTCAGAGGCTTCTCGTGCTGTTCTCTCTCTTTCTAATTCATGTTGCATATCCTCGGCTCTGCGTCTAGCACCATACCAATCTCCTGCGATTTGTATGGCTGTGGGAATGAGGTATGCAGCAACGGTAGCGGCTCTGGCTGCCATCGTGTTCCGTCTTGTCCTTGTGGCTGCCCGGAGCCGGCCGATCTTCGCGGTGTGCTACTGACGCTTCTGCCACGCCTAGGTATCTCAGTGCTGATCTGTCCAATGAATGGTGGCTAGGTGTGCTCGACTGACAGCGCCTAATTAATTTGTTTCCATCTGAGGTAACCTGAAAAGGAAACATCACGTTAAAAGGCCGGGGGCAAGTCTTTTGCCATTTCCACGAATGATGATATAATATATATCGATATTAAGCATTCAAATACAAAAACAAATATCAAAAAAATATTTGGAAAGGATAAGTAGATAGGTTTTATGTCTCATGCGAGTCTTTTAAAATTGCTTTTATTGTAATTGTGTAGGTAATAAAATAATAAAACGTTTTATGATCAACTTTATTACGGAGCGAGCGAAGCGAGCGTAGTCTTTCCTTAGATTAACGGATATTTCTGAGTATTGAGCGGCCGGCCGGCCGGCCGGCCGGCCATGCGGACGCTTTTGCGAGGCTTATATCTCAGCAACCACTTGACCGATTTACATGCGGTAATTTTTGTAGGGTAGCTTCATTCCTTCTACCAAGTATTGGACTATTCTCGATGCATGTGGGTGACCCCTTATGCACGTGCCACGTGCAAAACGAAGAGGTGTCAGTTTTGTAATTGTTGCAATATCTCGGTAACTACTTGGCTGATTGCGCTGAAAGTTGGCATGTAGGTAGGCACCCACTAGGCACTGCATATCCATGTGCCAGAGTTGGGGTGCTGCTGCACGTGCGCACGTGCAGGGGTCGTTTCCAGATCTCGAGAACGGCTCGACCGATTGCGCTCAAATTTGGTACACAGTTAGGGACCGGTTAGTAGGGTGCCGTGCACAAGTCAGTCGGGACCCATTTTGCACGTGCGCACGTGCAGGGTGTCGCTTCCAGATCTTGAGAGCGTCTGGGCCGATTGTGCTCAAATTTGGCACATCGCTAGAGACCGGTTAGTAGAGTGCCGTGCACAAGTCAGTTGGAGGCACCCCCTCGCAATTTCGCACGTGCAAGGCCCACACTCTCGCTCGCTCCGTTAGTCGCCCCAAAAGGCGTTATACTGGTTTCAATGAAGTAGAGTTAGACAATACACCCCACGTAATTATTTTAGATCAAGGCCGTTTATTATCGAAAAGTTAGTGATAGGTGAGCTCATTTTCTTATGTTCGCAATATAAAATTGAGTTAAAAGGATGTTTCACATGCGTCTTTTAACCCTATTCCTGGCGGGCTCCGCCGGGACAAGAAACTGGCGGGGGGGGCCGATCGGCCCCCCTTCAGATATCAAAAACTACACATCGCAGCGACAAACGGCAAACGGCGTTTGATAGGTCGTTTAAAGATCTACAACCTTTACATAAAACATTTTCAGGTCAGGTCAATATTGAGGTCACCAGAGGTCATCAACGATAAAATGTTTTGGAATTAGTTACCTATATAACTTTTAAACTAAGAAACATAGAGACATAAAACCAATACATTTTTTGTTGCTCTCGCCAAGGCGATGCGAAATAAGTATGTGATGACCTTCACAGGTCAATTTGAAATTTGACCTGAGGTCAAGGTCAGGTCATTCATCAATGAGGTTGTGGGGTATGGTCATGCTGCATACCAAACGACGCGCCTTGACCAGGCGAGGAGTTTAGTACCACTTACAAGTCTTTAGCACCATCATGTCGTGATTTGTTGACAGAAAAACGAGTTATGACGTCACATGACCTCAGATGACATTTGCCGGCGCCCCTGTCAATTAGCGGCACCAGGATCATCACCGATGAGATAATCTTCCAAATACTGAAAGAATTGGGTGGTTTTGACTCGTTTACACGAAGCAGGAGGCGTTTCAATATTTTCCCATAGGCTTGCAATGTAAAGGTCACGAGTCTGGCCTGACCTCAGGTCAGGTCACAGATATGAAAATTCTGAGATATACAAATTGCACATACTGGTACCCTAAATAAAACCTGAAGAGAAGAAATTGATCGGTCAAAAACTCTAGCTCTGGCGTGATTGCAAACTTTTCTGAGGTGGGGTCACCAAACCGCCTCTGGTGACCTGACCTGACCTGACCCGGCAACTTTTTTTTTGTCAAAATGTGCGCAATGAATGTTAGAAAAAGTCACCGAGTATGAGCTTTCAGTCTTGCGGCGCTTGGCAATGGCACAAGAAAAACCTGAAGGGGGGGCCTTAAAGGCCCCCCGCCAGGAATAGGGTTAACCCGCCCGCGCCCGGGGGGGGGGGGGGGTAATCCCAACCACCGCAGCCCGGGGGGGGCGTTTTTCGCCCCCCCCCCTGTCTAACTCCGTAAATAAGGGAGCTACGGAAACAAAAGCGATACCAAACGAAAGGTCCTTACCAGACGATTCTATGGCACCTAAATTTTTTGCCTCAGGTCAATTTTCAAGATCAGAGGTCAAGGTCAAAGGCAAAAACCGGCACATGTGTAGTGTTCTCAAAGTAAGCCTTCTAGAGGACGGCAGGATGCATCAACCCGGCAAAATTGGGTGTCAAACGAAAGAAGAGAATCTGAGGATTCCGAAAATGTGCCGAAAATCAAAGGTCAAGGTCAAGGTCACGCCCAAAACTGACCTCAAACTTTGCACTTTTTCGTACATCCTGCGTGCTAACTTCCAAAATGTATTGAAATGTTTTGAGGCTTATCAGTTCCCTATTTGTGGTTCATCTTACGATACAAGGCTGCTCAAAGGTCAAGGTCACAGAAGAGTATCCTTGCTACAGGCTATTTCACTGATTGAAGCTAGTAATAATAAATAAGACAATTCTGCCATCCGGAAGCTCTAAATGAAGACTTAGAGGAAAATAGATGCCAGATTCGTGACCAGCGGGTACAAATTCATCATAAACGACCTTTCATGTGTCAAGGTCAACCAAAGGTCATTCGAGGTCACATGAGGTCAACATAAAAGTTGAACTTTTCCTAACAAAATATATATCATTCGACGCGGCTTGACAAGGCAAATGCGATGGTACCACTGCTGTAGCTCTAGGACCATTTTTGTCGAAGTTATTTGCGAAAAACTAAAACCACATTTCGGGGTCGTTGACCTGACCTCTGACCTCAGGTCATCCAAACTATTTTTCTATTTTTTTCTAGGTCAAACGCTACACAACCGTGCTCGTAATTTGTCTTTATCTCTAAAACTCTATTTTTAGCAGCTATTTGAAATTCGCGTCTGTGACGCCGAAGTTTGCCGTGCAGGGATCTAGAAAATCGACCTTATGACGTCATCACGGGGGCTAGGTCCAAATTTTTACTTTAGAAGATGTCAAATTGATGGGAGAAAAGGTACTGAAAGTTTCGCTTTCCTATCCCTAGGCGTTAGGGAGCTATCGCAAATATTCGCCAGGGGGGGGCGAAAAAACGCCCCCCCGGGCCCGCGAGGGTTAATATAATCGCACAGACATATTTATTTTCCCTATTAGTACTTAACCAGGCCAGGCAAAAGACAATTATTTCAGCACTTCTCCAAAATTGTAGCCTTCGTAGCTTGCATCGCTAAGCATATTCATATATAACGCGCTCAGCGTGCGGTCCCGTCCCAGTTTCAAACGTGATCGTTCTTACCTTAGTTTGACTGGTCAGCCGGTTGGGGTTAGCGGTTGGCCCGGTGGAGACGTCTCTCGGTGTCCCTTCCGCCCGGTGAATGTCGTGCCCTCGACCTCCGGTCGGCCAGCAAACCTGCTCTCTGACGCTATCACCGAGCTGATAGCTGCTCCGGCGGTGTCATCTCAAACAGTGTCGGCGCCAGGTGTCGTCCCGGGGTCCCCCGCCGCGCAGATCACTCAGCCAGTGATGTCATATATACGATAGTGGCCGGTTAATGTCCTCCATATCAAGCCTGCGACTGAAGTGCCATGCTGAAAGCATTACAGAGGTAGTTTGTATACGCATAGATCTTACACATTTAAAGACAGCAAGTTATTGAGTAAGGGAGAGCATTGCCGAGGTTGGCTTCAAGCTTGACATGGAAAAGAATAGGGGGTGCTGACATGTCAATTCGATAGTTTTTTTTTCAAAGCCGTTTCGCTAGCATGCCATAATTGACCTCAGGTCAACATTTTGGCCCGCAGAGAGCAAAGACCACCAAGATATCCGGATGTTGCAGAAACAATTTTCCCAATGATAGTTGTAATGAATTTGGCGGCAATAGAATGCCACTAGGGTTACCCGCGTGCTCCGCAACGCGAAGGGGGGATTTTTTGACCCGTGGGTATTGGGTTGGTCTGTGTCGATTTGTAGATATCCATTTCGTTCGATTGCTTTTTGACGGCCAAGCATTTTGTAAGAAAACAAAAGATACATCGCATCGAGGTGCCCGTGTCGTATTATCATGCGTTCTACTTTAGAATGATTCGAAAACTGGCGTGAAGTCTTTTGAGGGCCATCGATGAATTTCGCTAAAAATGACAATGTAATGGTTTGGAACATTTACATTTTTAAGGATACTGTTGCTAATCATGCAAAAATGAAGAGTGAATATTGGACAGAATTGAATGCTCTATCCAATGGTACCATATTCAATTGCCAAAGGTATCAGGTTATGCAGCAAACCCCGTGTGATTAATAAAGTGGCACAAAATTGACAAACACCATTTTCTCCTGTGATTTGCACCACCTTGATTTGGATCAATCAGCTTTTCACAATTTTTAAATGAGAGGCGGTACCTTTCTCTTGCAAATAGGCGTTGATTCAACTCGCTCCATTTAACGGTCACCTAAAAATAAAATTAATTCAAAAATCCCTCAAAAACCGCAATTTTTCAAATAAAAGTGCCCTCTCCGGTGCACGTGGCGCGTGCTATCCTCTGCATTGCACACCATTCAATAGCCCGTTCAATTCTGTACACGATGCTGTTTTCCCCGTGCCGGTCGGACCCCTGGTCACCAAGATATTGCACGTGAACTGGACCCGTGTCGGCCAAAATTAGCCGTTTTCGCCCGATTTCGCACGCCGATTTATACATGTAAAGTCTATGACGCGAATTTGCACTTTTTGAGCACGTGCCACGCGCTCCCTACCAATCCCATCGAGCTGAGACCCCTCAAAGGCACGTCGCGCATCCTTGATCTATAAGTTGTGCAAATTTCACCGGGCTAGGTGCAACGGTCTGGCCTGTAGTCCACGCAAAGCACCACCAAGTCGGGACCTCGGTAACGGACAGACGCACCCTCCTCAAATAGTAATATAGACTAGGGGATCCTGGCTTGCTTCGCGGCGCAAAAGGTTATAAAATGATGAGGCATGAAATTTGGGATCGAATGGTGTTTGTCCGTGTCGATCGGCTTTCTAGAAGCTAAGATAATCGCAAAAAACCTGTTCGACTTGCAAAAGTACTTGGTACTTGCTTGGTACTTGCAAAAGTACTTGGTACTTGCTTGGTATTGGCAAAAGTACTTGGTACTTGCTTGATATCTGGAACATGCAAAAAAAGTACTTGGTACTGGCTTGGTACTTGCAAAGGTACTTGGTACTTGCTTGGTACCGGGTTCGCCGGGTAGGAAAAGTTGCCACTCTACTCCCGACCCCCCCCCCAGTCCCCAGTCCCCCCCCCAGATTTGGTATCGATCGGTGTTTGTCCGGTGTGAATCGGTCGTGAATAAGTCGAGATACGCACGGTGAATTATTTCCATCGGCGCTGATCAGAATCTTTAAAACGGAGGACCCCCACGCTCATTAACTGCACGTCAATCGGCCGTGTTTCACTTTTCCCAGATCTACGTCAAACTTTACGTATTTAAAACTACAGATTCTACAGCCGAATCTTCAAACTGGGGGTACCCTCGCTCATTACAGCGCGTGAATTAAGGCGTCTGTAACGCTAATGCTAAGTGAATGCGTCTGTCACGTCCTATCTCGCAAGCCCCAAGAGAAAAACCTCGCTGCAAAAACTGAGCACTTCAAAAAACCCGCAATCCTACTCAAATAGTATATTAACTAGGGGATCCTGGCTTGCTTCGCGGCGCAAAAGGTTATAAAATGATGAGGCATGAAATTTGGGATCGAATGGTGTTTGTCCCGTGTCGATCGGCTTTCTAGAAGCTAAGATAATCGCAAAAAACCTGTTCGACTTGCAAAAGTACTTGGTACTGGCTTGGTACTTGCAAAAGTACTTGGTACTTGCTTGGTATTGGCAAAAGTACTTGGTACTTGCTTGGTATCTGGAACATGCAAAAAGTACTTGGTACTGGCTTGGTACTTGCAAAGGTACTTGGTACTTGCTTGGTACCGGGTTCGCCGGGTAGGAAAACTTGCCACTCTACTCCCGACCCCCCCCAGTTCCCAGTCCCCCCCCAGATTTGGTATCGATCGGTGTTTGTCCGGTGTGAATCGGTCGTGAATAAGTCGAGATTCGCACGGTGAATTATTTCCATCGGCGCTGATCAGAATCTTTAAAACGGAGGACCCCACGCTCATTAACTGCACGTCAATCGGCCGTGTTTCACTTTTCCCAGATCTACGTCAAACTATACGTATTTAAAACTACGGATTCTACAGCCAAATCTTCAAACTGGGGGTACCCTCGCTCATTACAGCGCGTGAATTAAGGCGTCTGTAACGCTAATGCTAAGTGAATGCGTCTGTCACGTCCTATCTCGCAAGCCCCAAGAGAAAAACCTCGCTGCAAAAACTGAGCACTTCAAAAAACCCGCAATCCTACTCAAATAGTATATTAACTAGGGGATCCTGGCTTGCTTCGCGGCGCAAAAGGTTATAAAATGATGAGGCATGAAATTTGGGATCGAATGGTGTTTGTCCCGTGTCGATCGGCTTTCTAGAAGCTAAGATAATCGCAAAAAACCTGTTCGACTTGCAAAAGTACTTGGTACTGGCTTGGTACTTGCAAAGTACTTGGTACTTGTTTGGTATTGGCAAAAGTACTTGGTACTTGCTTGGTATCAGGAACATGCAAAAAGTACTTGGTACTGGCTTGGTACTTGCAAAGGTACTTGGTACTTGCTTGGTACCGGGTTCGCCGGGTAGGAAAACTTGCCACTCTACTCCCGACCCCCCCCCCCCCCAGTTCCCAGTCCCCCCCCAGATTTGGTATCGATCGGTGTTTGTCCGGTGTGAATCGGTCGTGAATAAGTCGAGATACGCACGGTGAATTATTTCCATCGGCGCTGATCAGAATCTTTAAAACGGAGGACCCCACGCTCATTAACTGCACGTCAATCGGCCGTGTTTCACTTTTCCCAGATCTACGTCAAACTATACGTATTTAAAACTACAGATTCTACAGCCGAATCTTCAAACTGGGGGTACCCTCGCTCATTACAGCGCGTGAATTAAGGCGTCTGTAACGCTAATGCTAAGTGAATGCGTCTGTCACGTCCTATCTCGCAAGCCCCAAGAGAAAAACCTCGCTGCAAAAACTGACCGCTTCAAAAAACCCGCAATCCTACTCAAATAGTATATTAACTAGGGGATCCTGGCTTGCTTCGCGGCGCAAAAGGTTAAAAAATGATGAGGCATGAAATTTGGGATCGAATGGTGTTTGTCCCGTGTCGATCGGCTTTCTAGAAGCTAAGATAATCGCAAAAAACCTGTTCGACTTGCAAAAGTACTTGGTACTTGCAAAAGTACTTGGTACTTGCTTGGTATTGGCAAAAGTACTTGGTACTTGCTTGATATCTGGAACATGCAAAAAAGTACTTGGTACTGGCTTGGTACTTGCAAAGGTACTTGGTACTTGCTTGGTACCGCGTTCGCCGGGTAGGAAAACTTGCCACTCTACTCCCGACCCCCCCCCCCAGTCCCCAGTCCCCCCAGATTTGGTATCGATCGGTGTTTGTCCGGTGTGAATCGGTCGTGAATAAGTCGAGATACGCACGGTGAATTATTTCCATCGGCGCTGATCAGAATCTTTAAAACGGAGGACCCCACGCTCATTAACTGCACGTCAATCGGCCGTGTTTCACTTTTCCCAGATCTACGTCAAACTATACGTATTTAAAACTACAGATTCTACAGCCGAATCTTCAAACTGGGGGTACCCTCGCTCACTACAGCGCGTGAATTAAGGCGTCTGTAACGCTAATGCTAAGTGAATGCGTCTGTCACGTCCTATCTCGCAAGCCCCAAGAGAAAAAGCTCGCTGCAAAAACTGACCACTTAAAAAAACCGCAATCCTACTCAAATAGTATATTAACAAGCGGCTTCGCCGCTCGCTTTGCGTCGCGGAGATTTGGTTTGCGCAAAATTCGCCAGTTCGAAAAGTGAAGGTTTCACGTTAGAGTGACTTCTAGAAGTCTAGATATGCGCAAAAGAGTGTTAAAGTGGTTAATTTGAGGTCGTAAGGGTCATTTGAGGTCACAGGGGTCAAATAAGGTCACCTTGGGTCGTGCAGTGTCAGAAAAGTGGTTTGGGGATCTAAGTTCGCAGACTAAAATTTCGAAAAGGTCGCAGAACAAAGTTGGAACTTAGCTATGGTTCCAAATTTCTAATGAAGCTACTGCATTATATCAGTTTCTTTTTAGCATAATGGGCAGAGATTGTTGAAATGCAGCACATATCAAAGTGAAACACCTGCACATGACCAACATACAATGGTAATCATTAAGCACGCACCTCACGAGATGCCAGATCTGTCTACGATAGCAATGTAGGTTGTAGGTTGTAGGTGTTAGGCTTGTAGGTTGTAGGCTAGTAGGTAAGATTAGGTCAGGTTAGATTATGTTTCAGATCTGGCATCTCGTGAGACGCCTGCTTAATGAATCCCCATGCAATCTTGTATCTACTTAATAGGCAGGTAGCCTACATTGCCATTGCTCAAGTATAATGATGCATACCTATATAAATATTAATATTCACATTTGCCTAATTTTAACAAGGGAAATCCGAGAACATATCATAACTAAATGCAAGAAAACAATCTGAACCCACCAGAAGGCTACTAATGTGAAAGCAGCTACCCTTGGATATCACTTTCTTAGCCTAGGTAGAAGTGAAGGTATAATCAAGAAGGGGAGAAGTTAAGACAAACTGAAACACATGGTTTATGTTAAGTATTACCATTACCTGAGCTTGTTACAAAAAAAGACATGAACAATCCCACCTCAGATTGAGATTCCTTGAACGAAGATGGTCGAAGTCGAATGCATCTCAGTATCTCAGCCTTTAAACAAAAATCATATTGTTGAGTATGAAAAAACGAGAAAAATTGCACATAAACATTTAACTAATTACCCCACAAAATTATACTTCTTTACAATAACTTATAGAGTTCAGTGACAATAACTCACGCAAATTGCGAGACAAACCCGGCGCAGTTGCGTAAAAGCGCGCGAGACACGCCAGACAGCGCTGCCTAGTCTGAGAATGTATTTATTTTTTAAAAAGTATTTGTTGCTAGTTAAGTTCATTGCCGAATGACAAAAACGATTTTGATGTTCAATTTATTTTAATACAAAATTTAATGAATAATATGCAGCACAAAATAATGCCTTCGGTCGATTTATTACAAATTAAGATATCTTACTGCCATGAGTTCGAGAAAAATAAAAAAGTCATTTTTTGTGTAATTCAGATGGGAAAAGGGCATCAAAAAGACAATAACTGTTTATTTTGTTCATTTTGATATCATTCACAAAAATTTTGCCATAAATTCGTCCAAGTTCTCTTATGCCGGCACCAAAAAGGTGATACCTCAAAAGACGCTGTCACTTATTATCCCCATACGCATTTTTTTGCTCATTTTTACGAAACAAAAACTATTCTATAACTTTTTCCAATCAATTTCCATTCTAGCCATACCTTGTTTTGCAATGAATGATGTCTAGGTGTCTTAAACGATCCAAGTGAAGCTGACCTTAGCAGGCACGGAACGACCCCGCAGACTATCGTAAAATATGGGCATCACACGTTATAAAATTGCTAAATTTTGACATTTTTGAAAAGAAAAATCTTTTTTACATCTATTGATATCATTTTTTCATACTTTACTGCAATTGGGAACTTTTACCAGGGGATAGTCTGCCACCACGGAAACACCAAATATGTTCTGCGAGAACTCAGAAAAAGTTTGCGCCCGGTTGCGTTGTGAAGGGAGCCGGGCGGGGAGCGAGCTTGTTGGTGCGGTGATGGCAGTGTTTTAGACGTCAAAAGGCCAAGGCTTATGACTCGTCTCCCATGACTCGCGTGTTATTTTTGTGATTTGTTTGGTACCTTCGTTTGATTTGTGTGAGAATGTGATTTTAAAGGTAGAATAGGTTGTGCTGATATATGTATTATGGGTAATATGTTTATCCAGTACCCATAATTTTCTGATAGCATTTAGGTACTACTCACTAGCTTGGTATGTGTCATTTCTCAGAACAGTGTACATGTAAATTAATCAAGCTGAGCTTTTCAGGTTTATCTCACCTGACTACGTGAAGTTTGCATATCCATTTGGGGCATTGCCCATTTACCTACTACTCACTAGCTTGGTAGTGTTGTTTCTCAGACCAGTGTACGTGTAAATTAATCAAGCTTTTCAGGTTTATCTCACCTGACTACGTTATCAACTTGAACTGCTGTTGCCTGTCAGTTAATTTTTTTTTAAATCATTCACTACTTTGTAGGCACTGCATGCTAATATGGATATGAAATCAAGCTTTTCAGGTTTATCTCACCTGATTACGTTAAGTTTGCATATCCATTGGGGCATTGCCCATTTCCAGCTCCTGCATGCTGTGTAGTCCTTCATTCATATCATACGTGTTGAACCAGATGTTAAAAGAGGGACAAAATTTTCAACATTTGTATTATAAAATACAGGATTAATTGTTAATGCACACACTGTGTGATCACAATTCACAGATCACCTGTTCATAACACATCACAGTTGATGGGCTTCAGGCTGCCGATCAAATACCAGTTATATCTATCAATCTAATACCAGTGAAAGTTTTGCCAACAGCTGTCAGCTGGTGAACCAAAAGTAGCAGGCGGTGCTGGTTCTTGGGAGTAGGTCAGTAGTTTGTACTGCATTCTATTCAGGAGTCCAGGTCTTCATTCAGTAGCCATGGAGACTGGAGAGAGATGACTTAATCTGCTGAAGAAGAAAAATCAGTCAAAATGGGTAGGCAGTTGGGTTTTTATTAAGTGACCCATTGTGAAATGCTCCATCAAGCCTAATAATGCTGACATAGATGGGTAGAGGTACTTTGTTGCACAGAAATCATCTGTTTAGGGAACGTTTGCTCACAGAACAAAAATTGCTTTTCTTTAGTCCAGACTTTTCGCAGAACAAATCTTCCGAGTTCAAGAAAACTTAGAAACGGGCCACTTTTCTGACACTGGGGTCGTGTCAGGTCAGGTCAGGTCACGATAGGTCATGCCAGGTCACAGGGGTAGCTCAGGTAACGATAGGTCACCCCAGGTCACGATAGGTCAGGTCAGGTCACAAAAGGTCACCCCAGGTCACGATAGGTCACCCCAGGTCACGAAAGGTCAGGTCAGGTCACGATAGGTCATGCCAGGTCACAGGGGTTGCTTAGGTCACCCCAGGTCACGATAGGTCACGTCAGGTCACCATGGGTCATGCCAGGTCACGATGGGTCAGGTCAGGTCTCCGGTTAACTCGGATCATGCAAGGTCACAGGGGTCGCTTAGGTCACAATAGGTCACCCCAGGTCACGGGTCACGATGGGTCAGGCCAGGTCACAGGTCACCTTAGGTCATGATAGGTAAATGCAGGTCAAACTGGTCACATTAGGTTAGGGCAGGTCAATTAGGTCACGATGGGCCAGGTCAGGTCACTGGGTTGACCTCAGGTCACGATGGGTATGGCCACGGCACAGAGGTCACCTAGGGTCACGATATGTCAAGTCCAGATCAAGCTGGTCACGTTAGGCACGGTCAGGCCATTTGGGTCATATGAGGTCACGATGGGTCAGGGTAGGTCACAAAGGTTTCATGAGTTGGGCATTGAATCTGGAATGCATCACTTTTTGTTCCATGCCGATCTGACGTTCAGAAGTTGAGATATTGGAGAAACACCGCATAAGTACTTGGTAGGTACTTTGTATAAGTACTTGGTAATTGTCAGAGTACTTTAATTGTCAGAGTACTTGGTACTTGGAACTTGGCAGGGCATAAGATTTGGAATCGATTAGTGTTGGTCCCGTGTAAATCCGACTTTGTGTCCCCGCCCGCTGCTTGCAAACCTAGGCCAGCCTCCAATGACGTCACTCGAGGCCGCTGGACAAACCGCCTATGGAGATTCGTGGCGTTACGCTGTGCAGCAATTGAAAACAAATCAAAGAGTCAATATGCGCTGAAAATAAGCCTTACTCGCTACTTTATCTTTTCAATTCAAGAAAACATAAGCTGCTACCACAGGCCCACACATAAAACCTTGTCCTAACCACCCGTCTAGTACTCGCGCCACTTACTGCTAAGTAGGTACCTACCTAACCATGCTGAGAAATGAATTCAGATTGCATTCGGCTTATTTCAGCACAATTTCTTCGTCTTCGTCTTCGTCTTCGTCTTCGTCTTCGTCTTCGTCTTCGTCTTCGTCTTCGTCTTCGTCTTCGTCTTCGTCTTCGTCTTCGTCTTCGTCTTCGTCTTCGTCTTCGTCTTCGTCTTCGTCTTCGTCTTCGTCTTCGTCTTCGTCTTCGTCTTCGTCTTCGTCTTCGTCTTCGTCTTCGTCTTCGTCTTCGTCTTCGTCTTCGTCTTCGTCTTCGTCTTCGTCTTCGTCTTCGTCGTCGTCGTCTTCGTCTTCGTCTTCGTCTTCGTCTTCGTCTTCGTCTTCGTCTTCGTCTTCGTCTTCGTCTTCGTCTCGGCTCGGCTCGGATTTCTACAATTATATTTATATAAATTTATACGTATATATAGACAATTTTGAGCTTACCCCGAAAAAATGATGCAGGTATCCATTTAAAAGCATTTCAGAAAAATACGCTTCTCAGTTTGTAATGTTTTATAACCAAGCTCAATTTAGCATCATTTTATGATAATATTTTCAAAAATCTTGCCCACATACCTTTCTATATCCACGTGCAACAATATTTGAAAACTTGGGAACACCGGCGCTTGACACTTAAATACTAAAACTGCGACGTTGGAGCCAGTCATCATCGGAGCCAAATATCAACTGTCATAGTAAAAAGAGGACAAACGCCATACTTGAAAGTTAAATAATTAATTAAAGCAAAATATAATCTACATTTCATCTCCTTACCGCACGAAAATCTTGAAAACTTTATCCTATCCACACTCCAGGGGGTGTCGAAGTCTAGTAGGAAAATCTGGCAAATTCCCTGCGTGACGTCACGTCGGGACTGACCGACGGCACTTTGCACTGAAGGATACGGCGGATTGGCTATTTTTGAAAAATGCTAAAAAATACTTTTGTGCTGTTATGACATATAAAACGCTTATCAGCATGTTCCTCATCATGTGATAAAGCCATATCCGTGGTCGAAAACAGCTGAGCCCCTCCCAATTTCCAACCACCGACCTCATAAGCAAAGGATGTAAGCGTAATCCTTAAGGGCGACTTTCCTATACATATCCGTACAAATGCGTCCTTATGGAAATCGGTAGTGTGGCGATTGGCGACGCGCGCGACATCTGTGTGGCGACCAAGTGGCGACTGTGGCGACACCTGGTGGCTGCTTTTCTGCTGTGTGAAGGCATTGGGGTTTTGCCAGATATGGTTCCTACTGCTACACAACTATGTTGACCCAATACTAGAAAGTTATTTTGCCAGTAAAAGGCAAGCAAATTGAAAGTCAATTTATAAAATTGCTTATAAATGATAACGAGAAAATAATAAAGAAGTTTTGATTGAAGAGTTATTAAAATACCCAACCGTGAAACTATATTCTGGTAGGTTTAGTAGAAAATAGTCCGTGCAACCTTGTATTTAGGGCCTTGTCCACACTCTACTGATCTTCTATTTATGTCCTTTCCGAGATCAACATTGCACAAAACAAACAACCGCGTCGCCATGACAACCAAATCAAAGTGATAATTTTATTGCACGAAAAAGCCATACCCAATTATTCAAACTTGATAATTAAATTACAGAAATGTTTTCAACTACATTTAACATTTTTTTTTACTTTGAAAAGTATTTATTTCGCTCTTTATAAGTCTCGTCCCCTTCATGACGGCCAATCAGCGCGCTTGGACGAATGACGTCACATGTGCAGCCCGCCTATGCCGGCGGCGCGCTTTGGCTGTGGCGACACCAGTGGCGGTACGCGACTCTCTTACCAATGAATTTCTGTCAATTTCAACGAACCGATTGTCACGAAAACTATCCCACAGCATTCACGACACTCACTTTTACGTCGTCGATTACTTTTCTGGACACTTGCACTTGATTTTCTATTTATTTGCGAATTTTCAAAATCGCGTCCCTTTCGCTTGATTCGCCGGCCGCGCAAACGGCAATGGTGGCCGGCCGGCCGTGCCTCTCCATCACATCGAAATGATTACTTTACTGCACAAATTGGCCTGGCCCGTTAATTTAAACTTGATTATTTAATTAGAGGAATGTTTTAAACTACATTTAACGTGGTTGCAAGCAGACTTGTAAACGACTCTGAGTTGATTCGTGAATCGACTCAGAATCAAACCGTTTTTCGATGAGTCATGAGTTGATTCGAATCACTTCATCGAGGAGCTTGATGAGTCATGAGTTGATTCGAATCAATTAAATTTAACATCATGAGTCATTTGATGAATCGATTCAAATTTTCAGACTCAAACAAAGAATCGACTCAAAAAAAATTGAGTCGTTTACAAGTCACCATCAACACCCTAATAATCAATGCTAGATCACCCCCTCAGCTTTAGCCATCACTTAACTCCATATTTCAGACTTACAAGAGCCTCAGAGGCTCAGGCACAGGCGCCTAATGAGCCAAAAGCATTTGGCAGTTGGTACCTAGGTACTAGAGGTGGCAAAACTGGAAAATTTTGGGACCCGGACCCAGTCTGACTAGCACATTTCCAGAACCGGTCAGACCCGGTGTAGGTCAGCATTGGAACCAGATGGACCCGTTCCCGAAATTCATTTGGAAAATTGTGTACTGTGCAAGAAGAAAATATTTTCTTTCCAATTGAGCAACCTTGTGTTGCAAAGTAAAACACTCATGCCATGGTCATTTCACTTCGCTTCACAGTTTGTATTTTAGAACCAGATTCAGGTCATATTTAATAATATAAGGCGTAAGAAGAACAATGAATTTCATGCTCACCTAAGCCCCTTTTACTACAGCTGCTAAAAATGATGTGAACCAAGGCTATAGAACTCCAGGTAAGGACACCAGCCGTTTGACCTTGAACGCCGCCGGCCGGCCGATGACGTCATTGGAGGCAAGCCGGCGCGGCGGACGCATCGAGCGAGCGTATAACGGAGGAGCGTTGGACGTTGCGGGAGCCGGGGAGAGATTTTGTTTGCATACCACCATTGTTATGTCGATTGATCTAGACTGCATTCTTATAAAGCTCGACGCATCTTAGGCCTGGATGGTGCGTACATTCGTAGAACGGTCCGACCTACGTGGTCGAAGCTGTCTACTCTACATGTACCAAAAGACGCTAAGACCGGTGCAATAACGGCGACCCGATCCCGTCCCTGGCGATTCTAGGACTCGTTAGGACCCAGGCCGAGTCTGACCCGACTATTTTTAGGGAAGCAGGGTGGGTGAATTGACAACCGAGTACCGATGGTTAGAATTGATCCCGTCGTCGAGCGATGGTTGATTGACAGACAACACATGTTGTAGTGGGCGGATAAGCATCAGGGATAATGCCTGAACGTAGGCAAGCATAATTGGTCAGCCATATTGTTTAGGAATATAAAATCGTAACGGAGGTCATTGAGGATATTATCTCTACATTACGAGGATTCACCACCAGTGAAAATTAGTACTGTTAAACCCTCGGTCCCGGGCAACTCCGGGGAGCTGCAGTATCCGGCGGCCACCTCGTCGACTCGCAGGTCCTGTGGGCTTCCGTGATGCTTCAGTGCTTCACCCAGAGGCACGGTTAGAGCAGTAGGATGTGGGGTGATCGGTTTCTGTACGCCTCTTCATTGTAGGTACGACGCATACAGCGCCCAGTCCCGTCGAAGCTCGATAATCGACCGTGACATATTCTTAATTGGCGGATCCAGGAAGCGGTCTTGAACACATCGGGGGGCATATACCCTATAAAAGGTTTCTGTGCATTAAAAAAAAACATCGGATTTCGATTCCTTGCGCACTACTGTGCACTTCGATCAATACACTTTTCCTCATAAAAGTTGTGAAGTTTTCGTTTTATTCTTGAAAAACGATTTCGGACGCTGCCCCGGATGTGGGCCTGTGGGGGATAACATTTGTCCCAAATGCCTTCCCTTGCATCCGCCAGCGGGTTGCCCCACCCTGAGCTTAACTAAAAACGTCTTAAAATCCCACCAGAGAGCCGAATCCGATAACTCATCTCTGTCTGCCCGTCTAAATTACTACGCACCGTACGGCGCCCAGCCCCGTCGGAGCACTGAACCGACCGTGATATTTTTGGTTTTCCCCCATCCCCAGCTCCATTAGAAACGTTATCTCTCCCCATCCAATTGCTCATGATGTAATTTCAAATTCAATACCTACCTCATCTCTGTCTGCCCGCCCATTCATTGCACACCTTACGGCGCCCGGCCCCGCCAGAAGGATCCTAGCGCGCTGAGTGGTTGCCTCCAGCCGCGTCATCGCGAGGCCCCGCGGGGCCCGCAAATGAATACATTGCGTGAATAGCCGTGTCGCCCCCCTGATGTGAACTGGGGATCCATGGAGCAGTGACTTCATCAGTCAGAACCTAACATCAAACATGGAACAAGATAAATATACTGATACCTTTGCTAATATTCTTGGTAAAAGATATTCGTTTTTAGAATGGAATACATAAGTCCTTCAAATATCAACTATATAACGTCCCAAACCAGAAAATCAAAATCAAAATAGAGAAACATAAAACCAAGGCCATAAAACTGTAAGGTCCGCCAGAAATGTCGACACCAGCAGGCGTTAAAACACTGCAAAATTTTGTTGGCGTTAAAGTACTGCAAAATCGAAATGGCATTAACCCTCGCACGACCAGGGACCGATTCGCGTTGGCGCACTAAGGCCCTAGTGACACTTGATTTCAAGCGTCACTATGCGATTTCGGTTCGCGCTGAGCCACTAGCCGATTGGTGTAAAATACCGCTTAGTGTCACTACATTCAAGTGTCACTTGGCCGCCTAGTCTTACTAGCTTCCTAGTGCGCCATCTCGAATCGGCCCCAGGCCATTTCTCATAACACGAACGACCAAGGGGGGGTTGTTACGACCCCCCCCTGGCGTTTCGAAACGGAAGGTCGTAGAGCTTAGCGGAAAAAACCAACGGATTGCTCTCAACGAGATCTCGCGATTGGTGGTATATTTTTTGGTCCTAGGTCAACATTTGACCTACTTTTGACCGGTCAAAGGTCAAATTTTCGGAAAAATATACTTTTTTCAATTTTCGGCGGCGATTGCGGCAAAACGGTATGAGATATCGACTTGAAACCTTCACTATCGTGTTCCTTGATCAATTCTCTATCGTTTGGTATGTAT